TATATCATAAGAGCATCTTTAACGGTTATAAACTCATATATTATGAGTTTCTAAATAATATATCATAACAATATTTTTAACGGTTGTGAGTTTTTAACTAATACTATATCATTAAAGCATCTTTAACAAGAGTTTCAAAATAATATATTATGAATATTTTAATGTAATAATATGATATAATTAAGTTTTTTATTAAGAAAAAACCAAAATTGAACCACTTATAAAGTGACAAGTGGAAGTAGAGTTTCTTCTGCTATAACCGATTCTCACTCTCTTTCTTATATTTTTTTGTGATTATTTTAATGGAAAAATATTCATAAAAAAAACTCTCACTAGAGATGCTCTAAAGCATTTAGCTTTGCCTTCAAACTTTTTTTTTTGGAGATCCTAGTCATGAAAAAGAAATTTTCGATCAAATTCATCATCAAACAATGTTATTAACTAGTTATTGTTGCGTTTTATTTCTTTTTTGCTAAAAGGTAAATATCATATAAATGAAAAATTAGATTTTACATCTTGGCAAAAAAATAAAATAAAAAACAAGGGAGTACATTGTTGGTTTAGGAACCCTAGATGTCATCTAAGCCATAGAGTCTTCGATTTCTTTTTGCAGATATGGTATTACGTCTTCTCAAAGTGAACTATTCTACAAAGCGGCAGCGTCTCAATTAGAAACCACATCTCAAAATCGTTTTTTGCCTTCGTACGAACATATCGATAATATTCAAAGTAAACGGCGCGATGCATATATAAGGTCTCGGGGTCTTGGAAGAATCTCATAGGCTTCGAATCGATTAATGTTTGGATCGGATCAGAAAGCATTTATTGGAAGCTCGTTTTATAAACGGTTTTACTTTCGCCCACAAAATGGATCTATACAAATCCGTAATAATATTTGGATCATATATGTGATGGCTCCACAAAATCATTCGTTTTCAAGTAGAACCATAATTTCAGCCGCATTGAAACAACGCCTCTAGAACTAGTTGGACCAGCATCATTTAAATCACTTTTATAATAATATTTGTATAAAGTTTCCGGTATATAATTCATACAAATTTACTCAAATGTTTCTATAAAACGACATTTCACTCACACACAAACGTGAATACTCATAGCGATACACATATGCAACCTTATTTATAAAACCTTCAAAACCACGTATGACCAAAAGATAGGGGGTCAAGATTGGCTTGTTACTAAAATGCAAGCAAATCATAGAAAAAAGAAAAAAAAATTACAGTGGAATTGTAATGCGCCAGGTAATACAAAGCACATAAATACAAAAAACATGTGAAATAAATTGGTTGTAATAAAAACAAAAAAACAAAAGATGAATATTTCTAGCTATAATTCTACTATACGAACTAAGAAGCTAGCTTTTAATGATTCGCCTTCGGTATATACGCTCTAGGAATTTTGGTCCAAGATCGCTGAAAAAAATGGATCTGGATCAGAAATTCCAAAGGTTAATATTGTAATGAGAGTAATCATCTTCAACAACAGCTTCTACATCGTAGTAAAAATCAGATGAGAGCTGATGCTGTTGTGTCGGAAAATACAAGTTTGTTGAATCGTCCGGTAGGTAAAAACCAAACTCATCCGAGGAAGTAGGACCAACAAGATTCTGATCCTCCCATGTTGAAAACGGCCCAAACGTCGTCGTATGATTGCTATCGTAATTATCCACGTTGCTATTACCATCTTCCACAACTTGCCCTAAAGTGGGCCCACCACTTCCACCACTTATTTCCCCACGTGTGGAAATTCTTTTTTTTTCTTCTTCTTCCTCCTCCGGTGACGGTTGTTGCGGTGGTTGTGATTCGTCGGAGGCGAAACGGTTAGCCACGACCTGAATCTGCTGCGGCGTCAGAGAACGACCGCCGGGTATTTCCGGTGGATTGTCCGGGAAATTGAACCGAGCTCCAGGACCACGGAGACAGTAAAGAGCCGCGTCGAAAGCACGCGCCGCCTTCTCGGCTGTGTCAAAAGAGCCGAGCCAGATTCTGTCGCGGCTGTTTGGGAGACGAATCTCAGCCACCCATTTCCCCCACTTCCTCTTCCGTACACCTGTGTACTTCGGCGATGGATCCATCTCTCTGTATATGTTCAGGTATAAACCAAATGCAGAGATGGAAATGATTAAGTAGGGTTTAATTTGCTATCTTCAGGTATTATTTGGAGTGGAGAATGTAGTGAGTGACAATGGCGGCTTGACAGTGTGCATATATATATAAGTAATAAGTACAGTATAATTAAGAAGAAGAAGGTCGCAGATAGTATGCGCGTTGGAGAAGATGATTACGTGGTAACGCGGTGACAAAGAAGCAGTCGTGTTTATTATTCCACACGTGCCCTAATTCCACCATTTACTTTTAAGTTTCACATACATGTTTTTGT